GTGCACAGGTTTCTGTCAATAGAAGTAGATTCCAGTGACTGAGGACATGAACGAATAATCAGGCTCCATTTTCTTTGCCCTGAGCAGACACTGGAAGCTGGGGTCAAAGGAGATGGACCTGGGCAGTCACTGGAAGAAATGTTGGGGAGAGAGACAGGAGTAGATGTTGACTTATCAACTCGTTTATTAACTTAGGGCAAAAGATTCTTCTCATGATGAAAAAAAAAAAAGACTCTGACAGAGGTACGGAAAGCTCTGTCTGCACACCCACTGTAGCAGTGAAATGTAGTGCAGCAGCGTATGTCCATGATGGAGTAGGGGACAACAACTTTCGAGCCTCTGGATAAGAAATGTTGTTAACAGTTTCTAAATGCTATTCCTCTTTCTCCTCCACCCATTTATGGCAAGAATAATAGCAAGAGGTGTGAGAACTACCACAATTAACACAGTGAGGGTCCAGTTCACACTTGTAGGCATCACAGTTTTTGCGACCACAACAAGCACACATCACAAAACTGCAACAAAATGCCCTTGAATGATGGAACCGCTGAGGGTTGGGAATATAGTTCAGATAATCTGCCTTGACAATGGCAGGTGGATGTGGCAATATAAACGTCAAAATAAAACATTGGTAGGCAGCATAATTCCTTCTTCATGAGTGGAGATACATCTCACAGCAGAAACTCTTTGGCTATAGCATGGGAGTACCCTCAATGGGTATATCTCCAATGGCCTTTGAATTCAGGAGGAGTTTGGTGTGTTTTGGTGTTGATGTTTCAATTAAGATGTCCCCAGAATGTAGCTTTTTAACTGACTCTGGAGAGCCAGCAAGCTCCTCTAAACCCTTCCGAATAAAAAAGGGAGATATCTGCCTTAAAGATTTGTCTGACAATGGATGCATGATCAAAAAACGAGGTACAGATTCAGGATGAGTTGAATATTGCTGGTTAGTCTTCAAAATGTGGTTGTTTACCAATTAGCTATTTTTGTTTTTTTTACTATTTTATTTTTTGAGGATATGAGGGATCCATAATAAAAGGAGAAGCACTACAATGCCAAACAATGGACACTGCAGCAACACCAAGGCTTTGTGAGCACTATACACAAACACCAGCATCAGACACAATGTCCATAACACCCATTAAGAATGCCCAACACTGGTACTCAGTTGACCTTAGCCCAACAGGACCAGTCAATAATTGACCCTTGGGGGGGGGGGCATCCATCTAAAGGTATTCAAGGTCAAAGTCATGTTGCAGTGCCCCAGACACCACTCAACCACCACTTCACAGGTCGCCACACACGGCAAACACGTGGGTGGATGTTCAGATCCTAAAGTAGGTAAACTGAATATGCAGAATCTTCCCTTGGACAAACAGGAATCCATCTCAAGGGAAAGTGCTTTGGAAAATATAATGTCAAAAGATTAGTAAGTCAAGATTTTTTCCAAATGAAACCATTTTGATAATACAACAAAATTTTAAGCTTTCTTAGATGACTTTCCAAAGCACCTTTCAGATTTTCAAAAACTTTTCCCATCACTGATGCAAGACTAATAGGCCAATATTTATTGAGACAATTTTTATTACTTCCTTTGAAAAGAGGAGTAGCATTAACCAACTTTCCACCTTCTTGAACCTACCTACTATTCAAAGACTTACAACAGAAAAAATAGTATCAAGTGGCTCACAATCCTCAAAGTCCTTAAAACCCCTTAGAGAAATATTATCTGGCCCAGGTTATCATTCTTTAAAATTCACAATTTTAATTGTTGATAAGAAAATTATTTTCAAAAATATGTTCAAGAATACAAACAATCTGACCAACAACACTGATGTTCATAGAAGAAATTAAAAATGTCAAGAGCTCACTAGATGGAGTAGTTTTAAAATTTTCAAATAAAAAAAAATCACCAGAAATATTTGATAATTAACAATTTATATTTGTCTCTGATTCTTAATTTGAAATTGGCAAATTGAGTAAAATGTGAAAAACCATATGCTGTTAAAATGATTTTATCAAATACAAATATGAAAAGTGACATTTCTAGTAGTTACAAATTAACACAAGTTACATATACTAACATATACTAATTATTAGCACAAATACTAATTGTAGTATTCATACCTCAATGAAAACTATTTAGAAAAATTGAACATTTTTTAAAAAAAAGGATTTTTTTCTGGGAAGTAATGCACAGGAAAAGTGTTGGGATTGTTCTATTTAGTCGTACGCAACTTATTGCATCAAAATGATTTAATGCACAGAGCTCAAAATTTTCATAAATTTTATTGATATAAACTGTAATGTTTTAATATATTAAAATTGGTACTCTTTGTTGAAAAAAATAGTTTTTAATAACTCCAGTTTCTCAGTACTACGTTTAAAAATTAAATCAATAAAGATATAATCAAACCCTCAAGTACAGTCCTAATGAAAGTTGTGTTCTTGTTCTGAGGAGAGTATTTTTATTTCTAATTGTGTTCAATTAAAAAGAAATGGTTATTACACATACCACAGTTATTTTTCTAATTGTCTGTATCTTGAATACCCAAAGTGTGAAATTTTTTATGGATTTTTGTTTGTGGTGCCATTGAATAGATGATGCAGGGGTTTTGGTTACATACATGCTATGTCCGTTAGAGTAAGAATATTTAGTTCTTGGGATCAATTTTACAATTTTATATGAACAGAACTTTATCAAGCCTATTAATCACATGGTAGTGAACAGAATATACACAATTACATTTAGGCAATCACACAAGTGGATACCTCAAGTGCATCTTCAATGTACAAAGGGACAATAAGCTTGCCAGTTTGCTTGTTAGAAGTAAAGGATAATAAAATTATGAAGAGTACAATATACAATTATATACTCTTAACAAGTTAATACTACCAACAAGATAAAATAAATCCCAATTTTCCAAACACATGTTCCATAGGCAACACATTTTTATAAGTTAATCTATCTACAAACCAAAATAACCACAATTTTCCAAAATTTCCAAAAACAACATGTTATTATGGGATAGTGCACTATTTACATAACACTGTGTGCATTTTAAAAGTTTTAGAAACATTACAGTTGATCTCTTCCACAGAGTAGACTGGTAATTTAGAGTACTGCAAAGAAAGCATTTGGCTATTGGAAAAAATTTTGAAATGAAAAATAGAATGATCCCTTGTTATAAAATGTGAAAGCATGGGCACCGGAAGCCTACTAACACCTGCATGTCACACTATTTTTTTAAAGAGGAAGCTCATCACTTAGCAATGACATCAAATGAGAGAGACATTGCCAAGAATAATGATACTACACTTACTAATACTACACAGATCACTACATGTTTCAAATTACACTAAACAACATTATCAGAGATTGACAGTTTCAGAAACTGTTATTCATAAAAGGATACTGATATAGTTCCTATCAATAAACTGACAAAAGCATGCTGTAAAAACAAATTCTGTCTTGGGAAAACAAAAATGTGATTTCATAAAGAAATACTGGGTAGTAACATACAGTAAATTGTTTAGTAAGACTTATTACAAAAATTAGCATAACAATGACAGAATAAAAATACAATTAGTGTTTAATATATTTTATTGTACAGTTATTATGATCATTACAGTTTGAATTTTTTTGCCACATAAACTTTCAGCTTAGTTCCCATCAAAGTTGTATTTTGTGGATGGGTTAATAGCACAACTTGCTCACGCAAATAACAGGGATGATCAATAAACACAAGTTATGTTCCTTGGAAATTTCTGGAAGGAAAAGTGTAAAACTTCTGGGATCTGGATCTTTTTTTTTTCCAGGTTTGGTCAAGATACTACAAAAACAATTTTTTTATCCCCTAGGCTTTTGAAAGCTATACTGCAGTCACAGCCTGTTTATATATAATCAATCATTTATACTATCATACTATATAAAGTACAATGTAGAAGCAAGTTTCTATTTTATTACCTTAATAAATTGACTGATGCTTACAATTTTTAATGTTATATTAATTTAATGATTTTGTTTTTGTTTATGGAAAATTTTTGAGTACACTTACATTTGTAACTTATCACATGATTAAAAAGCTGGCATGACTAAGTGCATAAAGAATTCTAATTCACAAGAATTTACCCCTTGATCAGAGAGTTGCAGGTTCAAGACATGCCAGTTCCTCTTAACTTCCACCAGAACATGAATTCAGGAAAGTAACGGGTGTGGTGTTACAAACATAACACATACATAATATAAAAAAAGAAAATTTATAGTTTATTTAACACTTAAGACCTCAGCTTATGAATAAATAACTATTCATTTATTTGGAGGCTCTGTTCATCACTGTTCCTTGATAAGATCTTAAATTAACTGGAATGAACAACGTCTCATTGTCTTAAGGCACGTTCAAGTATGCCTTAACTTACTAAGCATCTTAGGTTAGATGTTCTTTGATTCACATTAACAGTTTTGCTAAGAGCAAGAAGAAGTATATTTATAAACTACAAATGAATATCGTACAGTAAGAATCTGGTTCTTAAATCTAAAGAAATACCGAAGGCAACAATTAGGTTTAATCACACACATCTTAACTGTATCTGTGGATACACCCTTCAACTAACATTTTTCAACTGATTTTTAATGATTAAAGAACATTTACCCAAGTTGGGTAAACTGATGACAAGAAGATATTTTGACACTTCAGTTGTATATGGTACACTATTAATTGAAAATAATAAGAAATCACAATGGCAATATTTTGATGACCTGTATAGTTGGCATAATTAAAAACAATAATAATCGTAAACACTAATTTCAATAAGTTAATTAATTTCATGACATTAATAGATTATCTTACAAGATACTAATTGATGTAATCAACGCTCATAGGTTACCAATTATTTTATTCATTGAGTTAACTACTCAGCTCAACCTATCATAATTTTTACTACTTTTGGAACATATTAATTTTGCATGCTGATTGTTCAAACTAAAAAACATAACTCACCATAAGGTTCTCTGTCCTCTCTTCCATAGTTTAATGTTTGTTCCAGTTGTCCTGAGCTTCCAGATCGTTGTAGAGGAAACTCTTCTTGTTTCATTCCTTCAACCTGGCTATTCATGTCTTCTATGTTAAAAATAACTTATTTTGTAAACAGTACCTTTTTAAGATGTTGTCATCTAATGAACTCTTTCCTCTGAATCAACAGACACTAATGTTCTCTTATCATACATTTCTTGCTCTTTATAATATTTATTTTCATAACTTAACAAGAAGTAACATGACATCTTAATACTTTCTAAACTAGAATGGAGCTATACTAATCTTTAACATTCTTAATTCTTAGTATGGATGTCCAGCAGTCAATACACTGCAAAACAACATGACTGATGTTACAAAGAGAGAGAAGAATCATTAAAATATATATATATATAAAACTAGTAATATGAAGATAAACCTTCCTTTCATCAGTAGAAAGTAACTTTGCTTCCAGTGCTTAAACACAAATCTCTTACAACTGTTGTTTTGGTTTAGCAACAATCCTTCAAAACTCTGAGTGTTTGCAAATTAATAGTTTTTTAATCTTCATCACAGAAACTGATAGCTCATGTCTGGATGTTTGTTTCAATATTTTTTTCTTCACTTTGATCAATGATAACATTATATTTATAACAACAAAAACAGCCAAAATAAATCTAAAAACTGTCAGATTCACTGTCATGGAGATATGCAATAAAAATAATAGTATGTATTGTGAAGGTCGATTTAACAGTGTGTGACAAGTTGAAGTACTAGAGATTTATGAAACAGAAGTGACAGTGGAAAATATTATCCAGAAAGACAGTATTCCTTCAGTTCACAAATAAAATGGTCAGTTTTGTATATGTGACAAGGAATACCAATATCACAAAAAATAATGACTGCTGCTATTGCTGCATTTACCTAGTTAATATCAATCAGAAGCATTTCATAACCTCTAGAATATTGCAATAATTGGGTACTCAGTTTTCAAGAACACTTTAAACAAAGGTAATATTTACTACAAAGTTGAAAGTCACCAACCTGTGGAAGATTGTTGTAGGATCTGCAATAGGAATTATCAAAAATTGCAGTACGAACATTTAAAAAATGTACAACTTGCAAATATGGCTTATGACCTCCTAGGTTGAGTGCCACACTCAAATGATAAAAATAATAGCTAATGATGGTAATACAAGTGTAAAGTTTTGAACAAGTTTGTCATGTAAGTGAATGAGAAACAGGGGACTTGAATCAATATTCTGCATTTTTGCTGATGAGATACAGAATGGCGACTTGCAAAGATACATGTATCTTATCTTGAAATGAATGTAACATAAGTTCCTCTCTTTAGTTGAAAAGAAGAAGGTGAGAAATCCAATTAAAAGTTCACTAATTATATCATTCATTTGAAGAATGCTACTGACATTGTTCATAAGTCTGCTGGTACAACAATGAAGAAACAGTAACATATAAGGCATTAAACTGTTGTGTACTTTTGTAACAAATGTTTCAGTTTGAAAGTACCTATAGGCATATAATGAAATATTTTTTACAAAGTATATGTATGATATAAATAGTGATTAAGCCTAGTGTTCTGGATTATCCAAATTCAGAAGAATTTCAAATAGTTGTTCTAAACTAAGAAATGTAGATTACATAACAATTCTAAACATGTATAATATAACTAAGGTTTAATTTACCAGGCACAGATTTGCGGGAAGAATGACTATGTGCGTAATATTCATCTCCTTTGCCAAAGGCTAATCCTATTTGTTGTAAAAAGTAACTGTTGAAGTTGCCACAAAAATCCACCTTTTCCATGGCAATCAAAAAGTTCTCCATTGGGTGTTCAGGTCTATGTAATTCCTGTCTCCCCGTGGCTCCCTGAGCTGCCTCACCATCAGCATCTGATGAATCAGGCTCTTCAACATAGTTTGTAGTCGCAACCCCTGAAAGCAATACAAGTATTAATCAACCATAATTTAACAATGTACCATATTTTATGGGAAATAAGACACACTTTTTTTTTACCTGAAAAAGTCTCAAAAAATCATCCCGCATCTAATATGTGAAGTTAAAGAAAATGCATCTCTCAGTTTGGCCCCCAAAAAGATAAATTCTAACTAGTCTTTCCCAAGGCAATTGTAGATTAAAATATAAAAATTAATCTTTACAAAAACTATATAGATAGACTTATAATTAACCTTCCAAGATGGGTCACGAATGAAAGGCCATGTCATCACGTTTGTTGACTCACATTCAAAATTTATTGAACTACTATTTCATGAATATATGTCAATAACTTTGGTATGAAACTGTAGATTATAATTCAGCTTTTAGTACTATATATTACTCAATTTCTCAATTTAAAAGAAAATACTAAAAACAGTTAAACATTGATTTTTGTGTTTCACGTAGTATGTTGAATGCACAAGTGGTTCAAATTAGATGTTTGTGACGTCAAAATACTAAGTCTATAGTTTCGTACGAATTAGAAACTCACATTGCCGATATTGACAAGCTAGAATATAAAATAAGAGCCTCTTATCCTTTCAATTTATTGCTCATGTAATAAATCAAACATAGTGGCACCCTGCCCACCTCCTTGTATTTTTGGAAACATTCCCTTATATACACTTACTTCTATATATGACATGAATAACCAATCGAAAACTCAGAATGTTCCCCTAGTGGCTTTCTCAGCCATTTTAATGAGCTTACTGCCAATTCTTTTTTTTTGAACCAACATTTCAATGAGGTATGGTGTGTCTTTAGTCTGCTTGAAATTTCATATTCTTTAATACTAAAATACATCTTAGTTACTAAGCTTGATAAATTATAATGGAATTCTATGGTATTAATGTAGTA